TTTTTTTTTTTTTTAACTTCTCAATATACATTGTAGTTGATTTTCGTGTCCTCTTTCCTCCTCCATCTCCCCTACTCCCATCTACATCATATTTGTTCACTTGTCTTAACAAGTTCAAGGAATTGTTCTGATTGTTGTGTCTTCTCCCCCCCCACCACCATTTATTTGTAGTTTGTGTTTATTTATTTATTTATTTATACTTCCCACAAATAAGTGAGAACATGTGCCTGACTCTCTTTCTGTGCCCGACTTGTTTCACTTAATGTAATTTTCTCTAAGTCCATTCATGTTGTGAAGAGTAGTATTTTGTTCTTTTTTTATAGCAGAGTAGTACTCCATTGTATAGATATACCACAATTTCCTTATCCACTCATCTGGTGATGGACATTTGGGCTGGTTCCAACTCTTGACTATTGTAAATACTGCTGCAATAAACATGGGAGTACAGGTATCCCTTTGGCATGATGATTTCCATCCCTCTGGGTTTATTCCCAGCAGTGGAATAGCTGGGTCATATGGTAGATCTGTCTGTGTAGGATGGGGGAATCTTGTAGGTTTTAACCAATTAATAAAATTGTACCTAAGGTCAACATTGGATTTTAGCTTCAAGTCCAAAGTTGTATTGGCTATGTTCACTTTTCATGGAAAAATAAGATATTGTAAGCTCTTTGGCAAATAATGGAAGCAAGAATATGAACTTTTATACTGTACTAGTTTTACTTTCTAAGTATTTGGATTTTTTCCCCTACTTACATAATACTCAGGATGGATCCGGCAATTTAATTAAAATAGTATTTATTGCATACCTACTGCTTGTCAGTCTTCTGTTCAAAGCTTCCCACTGCATTTAGCATACAGTCTACACTCTTCACGGGGCCTGGGTGATCTGACTCACCCTGCTTCTCCAGCCTCATCTCTCATGGGTCTCCTCCTCACTCACATGGCAGTGTCATATGCACCAAGGAAGAGTGTGTCCCCACTCAGGTGCTTAACATGGGCTGTGCCCTCTGTATAGAATGTTCTTCTCTCATTCTTTGTATGGATAATTCTTAATCATCCCTCTGAATTCAACTTAAGTGTCAGGTCCTCAAGGATGCCTCCTGCACCTTCTCCCAATCTAAATTAGATTCCAAGAGACCTGGTTCTTTTTGTACAAGACATTGAATGTAGTTTATAACCATATAGGTATGGTTGGATTAGGCTCCTTCCCATTCTACTGAAAACCGCAGGAGACAGGGGCTGTGCATAGTTTGCTTATTGCTGTACCCCTAGTGCCTGTCCAAAGTCTGGCACATTGTAGGAGCTCAGGGACCATTTGTTTAATAAAGATACAAATGGATGAATGAATGTTTGATATTATGCAAAGTATAGTTGAAGATATAAGGATAGACAAGATTTCTGCCTTATTAGAGCTTACATTTTGTTGGGTAAAACATGTCCAACTCAAAGCAGTAACATAAAATGCAAACTAATGTGTAATCATCAAAAGCCACCAGGCAGTGCCTAGTTCAGAGAAGTATCAGTGTGTGTAGGAGTGGGGGACAGGTTTCACAGAAGATGGAAAGTTCAGGCGAGGCTATCGGGTGTGGTGGTCAGTGGATATGCCATTTGTGCCCTCAATCTCTCTCTTCAGAAACACTTTCTCACTTGATTCCAACAGCAGTCCTCTAAGGTAGAAATTATTCTCCCCATTTTCTAGTTAGGAAAATAAGGCCCAGAGCAGTAAAACACATTAACAAAAGTCATCCAAGTGTCAGAATCAGGATTTGAACCCAAATCTATTATGCTTCAAAATTGTGTTCTTACGCAACTACACTCTACTTTCCTCCAGAATATGATCAGCATTTAGCGTGCCACCATATATTTTAGGCACTGAGCTGAGTGTGGCATAGTGACTGTACTTGCTGAAGTTCTGATGTTCTGACATTAAGTGTTAAATAAATGGTAGCCAAGAAAAAATGAACCTAATTGGTCTTCACACGTCCTATATACACACACACACACATACACCCCCACACCCCCCCCATTCCCACCACTCCTGGGTTCTGCTGGTTCAAATCTTTGCCCTGCCATTTGTGCCACACCAGGTTCCTCTCTAGTGAAACAGTCATCACATTGCTTACATCTCATTGTTGTTAGGGTTAAGTAAGATAGTGTATGTAAAGGGCCTGATACAACACTTGGCTCATATTACTTTGGTAATACATTTGTTTTTAAAGAGTATTTACTTACATTGTCCCTTGAGAGAACCAGAGATGCTTTTCTGAGCAATGCTAAAATATTAATAGCTTTCTTGGCATAAAGAGTGTGGTACAGGATTTCATGACCTTTACATCTTGTTTATTTCTCACTCCTATTGCATGGAATGATGGGTAATCTCACTGAAAAGCTATAGGAAAATGCAAGGTAGAAGTGGGAATTCAATTTAGCTTTTACCAACTATATAACATAATGTGAATCTTATTTTGTTAGAAACTTTAGTGGCCAAGTTTAATGTTGAGAATATTTTCCTCATTTTTGAATGGTGGTTCTTTGCTGGGGACAAAAGTTACCCCTTCCCATTGTTCAGGGTCCTGAGATAACGGGTAGCTAGAACGATGGCCTCTAATTTAACAAGAAGTTTTTTGACAAGAATAATATGATATTCTTCTTGCATTATGCTTTAAGAATTATGTGATTCCTATTCTGACTAAACATTTAACTTCAGAATAATATTTTAATAATTATTTCGAGGTTCGAAACCCAGCAAAGGAATTCTGGGTTGCTAAAATAGTAGTTGTCGGTCATATTTAACTTTTCGGTAAGGCTACGGAAACTGCCTATAGTTCATATTCTTGTTTAGAAACTCAGGGCTAATTAAAATGTGGTCCTCTTCGAGGCAGGGAATTAGGAAGTCACTGAGGTTCTTATAATGCATATCAGTGTTTTTAAGTATAATTACAGAGGAGTCAGACTACAAATGTGTAATAAGGGTAATTAGTACCTTGTTTGAGTTAATTGATTAAAACTGTGATGTTTGGTCCTAAAGTAATTGGGATTCTGTCATCTGTGAAGGTCACGCCTGTTTTCTTATACGTACAAGGTAATGAAACTGTAATAGAGATATACTAAAACCTCATGAATAGTTACAGTGGGAGACCAGGGTGAATTACTGAAATTTAAGTACATTATTGTTGCATTATGAATAAGAAGGGGTTTGAAACATTTAAAACATTTTGCCAAGTAGAGGTCCTGTTCACCTGCTTTAAGTGACCTGATAATTTGCCCTTCTATTTGGTTACTCAAGTGCTCAGAATGTTTATTTCTTTAGGATGGCTAAACATGGCAGCAATTTACCAAAATTCAACTGGCCTCATGTTGATCTATCATAAGTTTCAATAGTAAATATTCATTGGCAGTCTTATCACAACACCCTGTTGCATTTATCTTGCCACTGTTTCTCAAACTGAAAGCACTCTCTTATTAACAGACCATTTGTTATTACTTCACAAGGCTCAAACTGGGGTGCCAACACCCCACCAAAGGTGGGGATGTTGAGTGTCCTGTATTTTATTATATTAAGGCTGGAGGCCTGAGTCATGGGGCTGAAAGAATGGTCTCGTTGAGCTTCGATCATGTTCCCTGCCCTTTCACTGTCTGACTTATCCTGCCAGCTTTGGAATTAGTTTCTTATCCCCGGTGCCTAAGAGGAACTAGTGCATTTCAGCATAGGCCTTAGAGCTTCCTAGTTAAGAGATCTTGTTTTGGTGCAGACAAACCTGGCATTTCCACATCTGTGTTAACCAAGGAAGGTCATAATTATATTTTCTTAAAGGGTAGTTCTGGTTATTAATTCTGACAAATGGCATAGAAAGCATTTAGTACCCTAGTTGACATATACTAAGCACTCAATGAACATTAGCTATTATCCTTAGAGGTAAGCCCCAGATTTAGTATTTTATTTTAAAACTTCCTGTATATATTCCAGGCCAAGGGGGTGAAGCCCTTTATTACCCAGTTTTTAAATGCTGAAGTAGTGATTAAACATACATGGTCTCTTCCTTAGAAGAAATGTAAAGGTCTTATGTAAACAAAGACATTACCACAGCTACTAGGGCCCTCAGCTGAGTTTTCAAGAACTTCCATAGCAGTCTTTTGGCATTTTATTATAGCTCAAGACAGTATGTCTGATTACTGTACTTGTTTTTGTTGTAAGATCCTTGTAGGTAGTACTTTGCCCTCTTTCCATTCTCCTATCTTGCTCAGCACAGCAGTGACACATTAGTTATTGAATGAAATTCATGAAGTCCCTAATTATGCACCACCCCACCTCTTGCTATATGGGGTTATAGTGAATGAAACTATTATCTTCAAAAATTCAAAAGGTCATTTTTTAGAAAATATGATAGTTTGTACAATTTAAGCTTTGTGCTTGATAGTCTAAGGATTTATCAATAGAAATGATTAATTTACACATATTTACTAAAGGGAAAATAAGAGTGAAACTGATATAAATAAGCTAATCACCTCTCACCTCTCCCAGCTTTCCTTCTTTGGAAGGACTGATTTCCAGATTCAAAATGTCATTTCTAAGTGGCTCTGTTTCTCCTCTGTCATAGCCTGCAGTATACATTAGAATAAAGAACCGAGGCCAAAATGAGTATCTGACAGTCACTGGAAACCTAGCTGACACAAGGGCAGCATCTGTGTGCATTTCTCCCTATAGTGGAAAGAATACTCAGATCTGGCACTACTGTCGAGGACTCTTTAAATCCAAGGTAAACAACCCCACTTTTTGGTCTTTGGGTTTTTTTTTTCTTTCTTTCTTTTTTTCCCCTTTTTTGTCTTTTTCGTGACCGGCAACGGATCGCAACCCTCAGTGGCGCGCCCGTACCGGACCGGGACCGGCAATGGGATCGCAAACCTCGGTGTTGCCCCCGCACCTCGCTCAGCCAGTGAGCGGCCGGTCTGTATGTGGGATCTGAACCCTCGGTGGGAGCGCTGCCGCGCTTCCCAAGTGGCGCACTGTAGCAGTGCACCACCGTGCCGGCCCCTTTCTTTCTTTTAGAGATGAAAATCTTGACAAGTCAACTGCCATTATAGAATAATGTAACTTCCTAAGACAGTTCAGTGCACAATCACAGAAATACTGACATGTATGTTACTAAAACATTAAAGTAAAAACTAAGGTTATCACATACTACTGATATGCCTAAATGATTTTTTTAAATCAATGATATAAGTCACTAGGTCCCAAATGGGCAAGTGCTTTCATGAGATCTTCCTTACTTGATGGTCCAGATAAAATCAACTGTGTAATTCCAAACATGTTAAAACCCTTTCATTTTCAAGATATATAATGAAGAAATAGTAAAAGAAAGAAGCTGTTATTGAAGGAAGCTTAGAAAATAAAATTCAGGTTTATTTTTTATGTGACTCTTCCATTATGTTTGATGCTATGCAGAATGGAGCACTAGTTTGAAAACATTAAAACCGTGTTTCCCCAGTGGATTATCTACTTTTTCTCATGCTTCAAAAATGAAAGGCGTTGAAAAGTAATTATTGTATGGATGTCTTTAGTACATCACCTGATGTTTTTATAAGAAAACCAAGCTTAATATAATACATTTTAAGCTAACATGGACTTAACATTTAATTTCAATCCAACAAACCTTTATTGAATATCTGTTGTCAGATGCAGACATCCTATTAAAAACAAGTACCTCTGTTTCAGTATTTATTTCTGTACCATTTCCTCCCCTCAGCCATAAAGACAATTTAAAAAAAAAATTTACTGAAATTATAATTATGCAATATAGTATTCTTTTTAGATAAGAAACACCATAAATCAGTCTATGATTTGTTCACCTGAAAGAAAAGGTACCCAACTTTATTTTGGCAAAGTAACTTATTTCTTAACACTTTTAGGCCAATGATATGTGCCTTGATGTGATTGGTGGCCGGGACACACCTGGAGCTAAAGTAGCCCTATGGACTGAACATGGGCAATTCAGGCAGAAGTGGAGACTGAATAAAAACGGAACCATCAGCTCTTATCTCAGTGACAAACTTGTCCTTGATGTTAAAGGTGAGCCTTTAATAATTCGCAATGTTTTGTGTTCCTGGATATCAGTTTAAGTTTCAAACTTCCTTCTTCTGGGTAAAGGACATCCTTATTATAAAGAAATGTTAAGTCATTTTTAATTATGCTTGCTTAAAAAAAGTAAAGATATGCAGTTTTATAAACAGAACAATTAGCTATATGGATCTAGTAGAAAAAGCCTAACAACAAAGTCTAAGAAGGTTTTCGTTGATTTGTACAGTTGTAAAATTTTTGCCACATGAACTCTGAGAACGATTCTCAATTTGAACCATCATAAACCATAAAATAAATGTCATCTATTTCTTAGAAACATCTAACTTTTTGCCATGAATTGCCATGGTCTGTAAAAGCCCCCTAAGATTTATGGTAGATATCAATTAACCTTGTTCTTGAATGCAGCAAGGTCAGGGGCAGTATTATTCATGGCTGTTGCTTTAACTGGGTTAGTCACAGCTACTGTTGGTGTAGAAACAAAAACAGAGTAACAGTACCTGACATTCAGCCAGAGTTCTCGGCACTTTGTTCCAAAGTGTCTTATTTCTGGGCCACACTGCTTACACAAATCATGTATCACACCTTTTAGTTTTTCAGTTTGAGCCATAATAAAGTCCAGTTTGAAGTGAATAATGACTAACTCTGTTCAAACTGTTTCCCATTGCAGACCAATTTGTAAATGACATATTTATCTATCCAGTGGGCTGAACAAAAGCTTGTGAAAATAGTGAAATCGCTAAGCACCTCAATGAGCAAATAATCATTTCTTTTGGGATTCCTATTTTAGGAGGAAATTATTGTGACAAAACTTATGTAATTGTAAATCAGCCCGTAGAGGGAGAAGAAACACAGAAATGGGACATTGAAATATTGTGAGAGAATCAACAGCACCCATAGGAAGAGCAAAGGAAGCTACTGTCCTCCAGTCCTGGATCACTGAGCAGAATGAACTTCTTCCCCAAGCTCCAAGACGACTGCTGTTAACAATGGAAAAGCTCAAAATATTCTTGCCAGTTATTCCATGTTCCTATGAAGACAATGTTATGATTTCTGGGAAAGGTTCTATTCCTGATTGATCTCTAGTTATGGTGAGCAAGTTTGCTGAAGTCTGTATTTTCCTATCTACCACATGAATCCTATTCCTGATAGCCCATTACAGGACACTGGTCACCCACCCCGTATTATTATCCGTAATATTATATTATTAATATCCTACTAGATGCTTGTATGTGTGCAAAGCACAGGGGAAAAATTCCTATAGGTCAAGTCAAACTTTTGCAAAAAGATGAGTAATTTTTAGCAATACCTGAAAAACGTATTTAATTAACCTTAATAAGCTGCTATTTAGATAAACCTTAAAGTTTCTGTACTGAGGCTTTTCTAACTAACTGAAGCACCCCATAAGTATTTATACTTGTAACTGACTCAAGAGAGGGACCTCAGCTTTGTTAGGAAAAAAGCACAAATACTGGGAGTATTTTCTCTTTCTATTCTTTCCTCAGTCCTTTAAACTAAAAAAGTACAAATAACCTATGGCCAATCTTGCACTCTGTTAACAAAGACATCCCTTTAGGCGAAAAGACTGGTTACCTACCCTGGTGCTGAGACCTCACCCTAAATTTTGCCTGATCTGTCCTCAAGGAGAAGTAAGTGTTTATAAAGACTATGTCACTTAAAGAAAAAATTGCCTACTCTTATACTGTCTGCCTGAAGCAAAGGGAAATCTCAAATCTTCAAATTAAAATGAAGTAGTATTTGAGCCCTGACCTTACCATCTTACTTTGCAAATAAAGATGGAGTTGATTTCTCTACCAAATGATAGAAAACTCAGTTTTTCACTTGCATTCATTTAAGCAAAATCAGGTAGGACATCATCTTTGACTTAGTTTCCAGTAATCTTTACCATCTTTAACTGCACAATTAACAAGCATTGTCCTTCCTGAGTTGGATTTAAACTTACATCAAGACAACTGTTCCTTTCATCCCCAACTTTTGTCAGAGAGCAAGGAAATGCTCTAGTTTTAGATAGAAATGTTAAATTCTCCAGTGATATTTAAAATATCAACTTATATGCACTTTAGAATGTAAAATGACAGTGAATAGTTTAAACTTAAAGACCTACTATTTTGAGTATTTTTTATAGACTTGGTCTTTCCATGTAAATATTTGGGGGTTTTTTTCCCTCCAATCTCAGGTTCTTCTCTTGTCATATTTTAAGCAGCATCTGTAAAACTCCCTGCTGTCCATAGATGTTGAATGTTCCTCATTGGAGTGGCAGTATTATTTAATGAAACTTATGTTACAGGGATAACTTTATTTTAATGGGGGTGGGGTCTATGTATACACAAAGATATGTATATTTTCACTGTAAAAAACCAAGTTAAAAATTTTTCTTCTTCATGTTAACTGTTTATAAAATTTTTCTAGAGCCAAGGAAGCTCTCTAAAGAACTTGTTTCTTCCAAAGAACAAAGATAAAGCCAGGTTAACAACATTTAATTCTAAATGATTTATTGGAGTTTGTGCCTTTCCTACCACACTGAATTAAATAAACTTGTTAAAAGTATGGGGTGGTCACTTTTTGGGATACTTAGTGGTATGCCGTTCTTTCTTCCTGTTAGTATATATGGACCCTATAACAGGTGAGTCTCATGTTAGTGGATATACAGGTAAGGAACTTTGAATTTTCCTTGGTTTATGTGTGTAGCTATTCCTCCTACCCAGTACATTGACTCAAAACAAGAGGGGCTACCGAACACTTAAATCTTCACTTTTCTCTTAACATGTGCACACAAAATAGTAGATATTTGATTCTGCAAAGGCACTAGATTACTTGAATTAAACATTCTGTCCAGAGGGATAATACCAAGCTTTCCTTTTCCTCGTCTGTAGTAAGTTTCAGGTCCTTGACAGAAATAGCCGAACTGTTCCAAATTTGCTGCAGTGCATCCATATGTGAGAAAGGAAAGCGAAGTCCATGAGACTGAAAAAAGAATAAATTTAGTCAAAAATATACTACTTAATGTCATTGAAGTGGCATTTTCATATAAACTTCCACAATCCAATCCATCATTATTTTTGATACCCTTCACAAGTATGAAGCTATTTCCATAAACTATAATTAGATAACTTATAAAACTTGCCAACTCCCATATAAAAGCTAAGAATCCATGAAAGGCATTCTAATTTATGTAATAAGTGATATCAGTTATTTGAAATGCTTCAGACTTACTATATCCTATAAGGCTACAGGTCCTAGCTAGTATGTGTTAAAACTGGTGTATGTGTGTCACAGAATTGTCTGACTTAATCATCCTCATGCAAGGGCTCTGTCAATCATGTGAAATGTTAAGTCCACATGCAGCCATAAACAGCACATCTACCTATAAATCAAAAGTAATCAATTCTTCTCAGCTACCACCCAAATCACAGAAACAAACCTCTGTTTCCTCCTCGTTTCCCATCATATGTCTCTCTCTCCTGTTCTTTAAGGAATGATAGATGTAAACCATCTTTTCTTGCATTTCATCCTTTAAAAAAAAGTCATCAACAAAATATTGAGGTCTTCAACAGTATGAGGATTTTCCAATAGTCCAACACCAAGAGAAATCTTAAAGCCTTGGTCCTCAAGTAAAATCCGAATAAAGAATCTTTTTGGCAAAAAAGTTTTGGGGTTTGTGTGTACATACACACTATGTTCATTAGCATCAATTAATGGACACTCTAAGTCATTTTTTAAAAGCTAAAACAGCTAGAGTGCTACCTGGTAGAGCATCTTCAAGAACTTGATTTATAATGAAAAAGTAACCATTTATATATCAACAAATCAACGAAACACTGAGTTTCTTCTTTTAATCTTACCTGCACTGTCTTTTCTGCATCACAAATTTTGACATTCCTAGGTATAAACTGACAAATTATGAACACCATGGAATGATTAACTAGAGAAATACCAGCTGTGTGATCCGTAAAAAACTATTCCAATTACAGTAGCCTCCTAAATGGTTTCTTCCCTTCACTCCTCACCCTACACAATACAGTTTATCATCTCTTCCAGAGTCTTTAGTCATTCCTTGTCACCTCTCAGATAAGGGCCAAAAACCCTGGCTTGACACAGAGGGTCAAACTGACTGGTTATCAGAATAACTAAGATATTTGTTTTTTATAAGGATGTGGGAGTGTGTATTTTTGAGGTTTTATATATATAGTACACCAGTCCTCTCCTGGTCCGGCCCTGATGGCTGGCACAAGCTGGTTATGGAGACATATAAGTGCCCCTCTAATCCCTTTCAATCATCTATGGAGTATCTGCCAAAAGAGTTGATTAGGAGAAACAAGGTGAAACCATAGGGTATGGGATAGTTCCCAAGGTCCTCAGGATTGTATACTAAGATATTTGTTTTTTATAAGGATGTGGGAGTGTGTATTTTTGAGGTTTTATATATATAATACACCAGTCCTCTCCTGGTCCGGCCCTGATGGCTGGCACAAGCTGGTTATGGAGACATGTAAGTGCCCCTCTAATCCCTTTCAATCATCTATGGAGTATCTGCCAAAAGAGTTGATTAGAAGAAACAAGGTGAAACCATAGGGTATGGGATAGTTCCCAAGGTCCTCAGGATTGTACAGGCAGTCTTATAAAAACATAGGTACAGAGGCTCCAACGCAGACCAGATGAAGCCAGGAATTTATAATTTTAAAAAGCTTTCCAGCTGATTCCATAATCAGCCAGTTCTTGGAATAGCTGGGCTAGATGGCAAGGTGGCAGAATGTAGATTTTGTTCTCCATGATCTACAGGATAAAGCTGAAGGAGAAGAACCATCAACAAAACCACATATAAAGATCTGCACAGTGTAGAAACTGGAGAGGGACTGAGGTAGGGAGACTCATGAACAGGGTGTGCAGTTGCCCCAGCAACAGCAAAGACTAGAAATTAATACCTACATACGGAAAATGAAGGAGGGTTCTCTGGGGATGAGGGCAGGCCCACAAATGCCTAATAGGCAGGAAAATTTGGAACCGGAACAGTGAAATTTAGGCATTATATGACCTGAAAAGATGACATTAAACTGTGAACACAGATAGATTCTCAAATGAGAAGGGCAGGGCCCAGTGGTTAATCTGATAACCTGAGGCCTGTGATAAAATCCCAAGAAGAGAGGCAATCTCCCCTCTGGATACTCACAGTTCGATCCTGATCCAGCCCTACCGTGAGGACGATGTGATCTTTAAACTGCAGTCTCACTATGCTGTCCAACCTTGGTAACTTTCCACCTAGAAAACCCCAAGGAAAGAAAGCCAGCATTCAGAAAAGGAAACCGTCAGATTCAAACTTGTTGGTAGGTGCAATTATTTAGAAAACACATTTATTAGCAATTTGCAGGTAAATCCAAACACGAGCACCCTCTCCCACTCAAGTATTAGTTTACCTTACAATATTAAAACTATAGTTTACATCCTTATGGAGCTCATTCTTATATTGAAGACAGACAATAAGATAAATAACAATGTAAGTTAAGTACATGAGATAAATATAAATAATACCATCAAAGCACAGTAGCTGTCACAATAGGTAGGGTCATGGTGCCTTCTGCATGAAACAAGCTTCTTGCTCTACATGTGGATGCTGGAAAGACTACCTGAGTTCAAACTGCACCACCCCACCAATTACTACTTGTGTGACCCTGGCAAAATATTCAGTCTATATCATTCAAGCACAGTGTCCTATAAAAGCCATCTAATAAAGTTCATAGAAAAAACAATCTACTCTTTTCTAAACTGGGTTTAACTTAGTAAAGAAACAGCCACTTAAAACAGGCTAGCCTTACTGGGTCATCTGGGTGGGGAAAGAGTCTTGAGGGATCATAACTTTATTGAATATAATGGTTAAGACAAGAAAAACATTAGACAAAATATCCTGGCTATAAGCTAGTACTCAGCAAACTGTTCTGCTAAAGATTAAAATGTGCTGATAAAACATTTGCTATTTTGAATAGATTCAATCGAAAACAAATTTTAAACCCTCCAAAGACTGGAATAAAAATGTATATAGAAGCAGTGTTAGAAGAGACATTATAGTTTATCTACTTCAGTGGCTCTCAGCTAGTGATGAATAAGACTTAGTAAAAATACTCTTCTCACTCAACCCCACGGAGAAAAACAGCCTGAGAGCTGGCCTGGCAGTCATAGGTAAGTCTTGGTGTTCTCCTGTTGAACACAGACCATTTCACAGAACACTAACATCAGACAAGACCACTCTGTGACCATGATGTTTAAAGACAAAACCAACACCACTCCATCTTCATGTCCAAACTCAAGCAAAAATAAGAACATTGTCCAAACCACAACAATGACAAACTTCTCCTATGAGGGCTAATATGAGTGACTGCTGCTGCTTTACCAATGATAACTTTAGCTTCATACATCCCTCCTGTCTACTAGACAAGATTTAGAAGAGACCCAATCATAGAATCCCTCCTATTTCCTGACAGCTTCAATCCAGAGCAATGCTCTGCTTCCTTGCACCCTCTCTAAAATTACCTAACTCAAGCCCAAATCCTATAAATCTTTTCTAGCACACTTTTACTGAGATGTACCACAGTTTCCAACAGTGTGCAGTCTTCCCCATTGCAGCAAGTCAATAAATACAACTTTGTCTGAGTTCAGGAACATGTTCCCAGTGGTCTTTGCCACAGGATAATGACATACATACATCCAGAAGTGTGACATGTCATTTGCAGCCTAAATCTGTCATAAATTAGACTCCTTTGACCTGGGGAAGGTCAGTGACAACCTTGAGCATTCTTGTATTTCACCTGCTGATGGCCACATTTCACCCATCCCTGCGTTAATTCCAACAAGACTATTTCAATGTTCAAGTAGAACAATACACACAAAGGATAGATCTTAGTCCACGTTCATATTAAAATGTTTCATACTTTCTATCTACTCAAAGAGGAGCCTACCCAGGAAAGCTCAAATATCCCACATTAGTTTCTAACCACCTAGAAGAAAGAAGCAAGCTCTACCTGGTGTAGATAGCTCTGCTCCATCTCCCACATAGTATGGGGGGAGTCTGTGTATAACAAAATCCTTCTTCATATCTGATGAAAGCAGTTGTTTGGTGCCCTCTAGCCGGTCTGCAAGCGTCCTCAGAAAGCCACTCAATCTTCTTGTTGCAACAGTTGTAGTTTCTTCCTGCTAGAAACACAGAAGTGAGTCCTTGTCCAGACCCCAGCAAAACTCTTACTGCCCAGGTCAGTCCCCACAGTAGTATGCGTAACCACCAACCAAGATAAATCCATGTCATTCCAAGGAGGGAGGTGAGTGGGGAAGGGACAACCTGAGCCCTTAGGAACAATATCCCATTACTTTCTTGTAACATTGTTCATCTTGTGGTGCCTATTATTTGCAAAAAAAAAAAAAAGGATTTTGCCTGGTGAGAGGGATCCTCGGAAATATAGTACAGCCTGGGCTATGCCTGTTGGAAAGGAAGTCACTGTCCTAGGGTGACTGCTCCAGACTGTGAAAGCAACCTTTGCTCCACTCAGCACTAATTCACTCATCTTCTCAAAACTAACCAAACAGGGCCGAGCCTGTGGCGCACTCGGGAAAGTGTGGCGCTGAGAGCGCAGCAGCGCTCCCGCCGCGGGCTGTGAAAGCAACCTTTGCTCCACTCAGCACTAATTCACTCATCTTCTCAAAACTAACCAAATAGGGCCGAGCCTGTGGCGCACTCGGGAAAGTGTGGCGCTGAGAGCGCAGCAGCGCTCCCGCCGCGGATTCGGATCCTATATAGGGATAACCGGTGCACTCACAGTGCTCACTGGCTGAGCACGGTCTTACTAGTAAGTTGTGTGCTGAATCTACAGGTCTCCTGGCCATATTATTTATTCAACCATTATTCAGCCAACATTCCCATAATGCCTGCTACTGCACCTGTGAAATACAGACAGCCATGTGCATAACACCTGCAGTTCTTTGGATGCCACATAACAAGCAGCACTCCATTCATCCTGCAAATCCCACAGCTCAGCAGGACAACACAGGAGACAAGCTTGACCCATCTGGGAAGAAGGATCCTAGGGTCCGTAGGAGGTGGGGCTTCAGCTGGCCGGGGCTGCAGCTAACACCCATCATTCCCACCTGCCTTTACTCCTTACCAGGAGCAGCTGCCGGGGTATGCCAGCCCGGAACTCCACGTCTTCCTTTGCAGTATCAAACACAAGCCCCGAAATGGTGTCCAAAAGGAAATCTCCCCATGAGCTACAACATGCACCATAAAAAACAACAAAAACAGTGAATGCATACAAAATATATATAAAATGCTAATTACTAATAAAGCCAAAAGCTGCAAATTGGGTTCCAACTTCCCTGCCCAGGCATTTGGAGTTCAATTAATTTCACATTACTCTGCATAAACACTTAAGACCTTTGTCAACCACAATGCTTCCATCCCTCGCCATTTGTAGACACTCAGAGATTTAAAGGTGGGAAACTAGGCTTCATTCATGATTTCTTTTAGAGATACCAGAAAACTAATCATACTGTCATAAAAAAGAAAGTTCAAGGGACCAAATTTTTTTACACAATGTCTATTGTGAGAGCTTCACAGGAAATTTTAACTCTCATTATAGGACCTAGACAAAAATTTTACGTGCAAAATATCCAAAAGCAATACATTTAGGGTAACAGCAAGATCTCTGGACTGTGTAATTATTTGAACAATTAAATGTTACATTTTCCTCCTTCTCGGATGCTTAGCTAAAAGCATTTCAGCTTAGCTAAAAGCATTCCTCTGTGCTACAAGTGTCTCCTCTGCAAACTTAATGATAAAATTTACCACACTGTTTGGTAACTATTTACATGTATATCTGCCCTCCTTCCAGCATTTCTAAAGCATAAGCTCTCTCAAAGCCCCTTCAGTACAAGGCTTGAACTACCAGCAGCCAGCACAGTGTCTAGTGCATGCTTGCTAAATAAATGAACGAGTGCTTTTCAACTTGATTCTGACCAGCAAGGTTGCTACTCTTTGGAAATAACTCACACAGCACTGCCACCCAGTTCCCATCATGTGATGAGACGCTCACTGAAACGGGACATGCAGCATGTGTGCTTTTAGCTCCCACTGTTCCAGAATGCCTTTCCTCCTTTAATTTCACAGACTGTAAAAACTGGAAACCTTAAAAGAGACCAAGAGGTTTCGATGGCTACAGTTTCTGTTGTGGGTATTGAAAATGTTTTGGAAACAGATAATGGTGATGGTTGCACAGCAGTGTGAATGTAATTCATGCCAACAAATTGTACACTTAAAAATGGTTTAAAATGGCATATTTGATGTTAAACATATTTTATACAATAAAAAAAAATTTACAAAAAAGAGACTGAGCCCAGCCTGCATCACTAACACATCAACATACCCACAGCTATAGTTTTTTTTTTTCTTTCCAAACTATAGGACTTTTTATTTGAGCAACTCCCAGTTTCCTAAATATGAGGAGTCTTCAGAAAGTTCATGGGAGGATTTGTACTATTTAATTTTTCCATGAACTTTTTGAAGTACCTTCGTAGAGTCAGATTCATGACATTCCCAGAAGGAAGTCCAGATGGGACAGTCACACACATGGAACACCAAAGGAATATGGAAGTCCACAAGGGAGACAGAAAACCCAGGGTAGTGGCCAACTCTGTCAAGTCCTTCCTGAATGTGGCTGCCATGGCCACAACTCAGAGCTGCCCTAGGGTGCTGCTGGGCTGGGAGGCAGAGTGTTTACTTGTTCTGGTAGGTGCTGATGGTCACGTGAGTAGAGTGGGCCAGTCCCGGAGGAGTGTCCGCTTGATGAATGGTTCCTCTGGGAAAGTACAACAAATCACCTGGCTAAAGGAAGAAAGAGAAAAGGGGGCCAGGAGTTAAAAAGAAGTATACCTTCTCATTCCTCTTTAAGGAGATAAACATAGGCTTTGAGTTCAGTTCTCCATTCTAGAAATTACTACTTCCAGGTGTGTTCTGTATGCTGAGCTCAGGTGGTATCTAGCTTCTAGGCTGTGTCCATGAGCCTGTTGCTGTGAACCACAACCCACGAGAAGCTTTCAGTGCCTGAAGTCAGCATCTGTATTCTCAAGCTCAGACCAGATACACCTGCAACTACACTGCCTGCACTGAGGAATCCAGGAAGGTGACATCCCGTGCCTAGGAAGCCTGCTCACTCCCTCTCCACTTCTGCAGTGGGTAAGAGGAGGAGCACTGGAGTCATACAGATGCTGCCACTCACTGGTTGGTGACTTGGGCAATTTACTTACCTACACAAAGCCTCAGTTTCTTTATCTGTAAAACGGAGGAAGTAGTCCCAAACCTCCATAGAATTATTTTGAATATTAAAGGAGATGCTGGTCCCAAAGCTATTGGGGCAAAGGTGGGCATGTGGTTGTAACATATTATTTTACCTGCCAGTCCCTCCACCCCGTGATGACTTTTGAGCTTCTCTGCTGGTTCTATACCCTACCCATCTTGTGTTTCCTAGAGCCTATCGTAGCAAAGCACCTAGCACACAACATAGGCTCAATGAACGTTTGGACAAATGGATGAAAAACTATACAACCATTATTTGAACCTAAAAAAACAGACGTAACTAAAGAGCAGTCATTTTCTTGGGCATTTGGGCCTCCTCCACCCTATCCCTTTTCTCTCCCAAGCCACTGGACAGAAATATTCTCCTCAAATTACCCCTGCCCTGAACTACCACCTGCCTAATCCCACCTAGACCAAAACACTGTTTAGTAATTGCCTAAGGTGAGGAGAGGGAATCTTGTGTGCCATTCATCTCTCCTCTGCAACTGCAGGAAGCCATCTAGCTCACTGCTTAAAAGCATGAGCCCTGGAGAAAGAGCTCAAGAAATATCAGCTTAAAAAATCTTTTTAAGATTTTCTTCAAAGCAAGAGACAATATACAATTATACATATTGATAAGAGCCATCTTGGTTGCTAATTTGCCCTGAATGACACCAAACTGACAGTACTTCAAGTAAATAAATGCTTTACTGGTAACTGTAAATATCATTTACTGTCTCTGTGCCAGCCCCTGAGTGAGGCCCTCACATACCTATATTTTGTTCATTCTACAAACATTTGATCAACGCCCCCCATCCCTTGCTGGAAAGGCAAGGAAGCAGATCTTCCCCTAGAGATTCCTAGAGGAATGCAGTCCTGCCAACACCATTGAGACCCTTTTTGGCCTTCTGATCTCCAGATAATTTTGTGTAGTCCACTGAGGTTGTGGTAATTTGATAAGCAGCAATAGGAAAATTAAACAGACATACAGATACCTCTTCTAAGTAATTTTATTGTAAAAGAAGCATCAAAATAGTATTTTTCAATCCTTACAGCCTGCAAGGTAAACATTAAGATCTCCATTTTAATAATGAGGAAACTGAGACTTAGATAAATAACTCGCCCAAGGATGTGCAGCTAGTAAGTGACAGCAGCTGAATTCAAGCCCAGGCCTTGTGAGCCCACACAGAGTGGTGTTTCCATCACAGGGTGGTCTTCACCCTGAGTTCCCAGGTTTTGCAGATGCGCTACTACACAGGCTGCCACTGGGAGGGGGGGAGAAGGGTGACAAGGGCTCCAGACCTCATTACTGTCCCCATAACCAGCACCCAACCACAGTACCTCCCTCAGCTTTTCTATTTCACATATTGGGCATTTACGCAAGACTTCACTGGAAGAGGTCCACTGGTTAAAACCTTACATGTATACACGTGTACACACTTGAAAAACAATATACTGCACAATGCTATCTTTCTCCTTCTAGGAGACTCAGGGCTTCTCCTAATGAACTGTGTGTTCAATGAGTGTTAAATGGGCATCTGCCCAACCTCCTCCAAGTCCTGCAGCAACAATGCAAAGAATCCACACCCTCTTCACTTGAGGCCACTAGGAAGGAAGCCTGACCTTCTTGAGCAGGGAAAGTAGCCAAATTGTCAGCCTGAAGAACTCAGCCCTGGCCTCGGAGACCACAGATGGCTTAGCCTTTACCTTAAAAATAATCAGCCAAGAGTCTACATAAACATGCTCCACTAAGAGAAGGGGATGGCAAACTCCTTCTGGGAATGCCCAATATAAAGATAGTAAATATTTTTGGTTATGCACTAAGTGGTCTCTGTGGCAACAGTCAACTCTGCTGGTGCTAAGTGAACACAGCTACAGACGATACATTAAGGAATGGGTGTGGATGTGTTACAATAAACTTTATTTACAACAAGAGGCAGCAGGCCAGATTTTTGGCCCATGAGCCATAGTTTGATGACTGCTGTTTATTTAAGTCCCTTATAATATAGGCACCCATCCTTAAACGGGAGATTGTTTCTCAGTTATTGGCAGGCAGGCAAAGATTTTAAAATCAAGACAGACATACAGGGCACTGAGTAAGAATTAGACACCAATTATAACTTTAAAATGCAAGAAATACAAAAACAATAACTATATAAAAAATATATCAGGTTGGGAGAATCTTTAGAATAGTTTGAATTAACTATTATTTTATTACCACTGAAGGAAATTAAACGAATTTTTTTTTATGAAAGCGTATAAAGTTTAATTATACAGCTATTCCTATCCCTTTAAGATTTTTTCTCAAAAACCTCTCTTGCTGGGGAGTAGAATAGTTTGAATTAACTATTATTTTATTACCACTGAAGGAAATTAAACGAATTTTTTTTATGAAAGCGTATAAAGTTTAATTATACAGCTATTCCTATCCCTTTAAGATTTTTTCTCAAAAACCTCTCTTGCTGGGGACTGACTATGTTCCCATCCAGGCTAACAGCTCAAAGACAGATTTTTCTCAGCAGCAATATGCCAAGGAACCAGCTCATCAAGCCACCTGGCTCACTGGAGGAGGAATCCTCTAGAGCTTTCATAATTACTATTCTGGCGACCATATGCAGGAGGAAGGAAGGGAGATACAAAGACAGTCTGCTGCATAATCAGGAGGAAAACGGGTCATACTGGAATTTTAGCAACAAAAAAACTTATGGATCCCTGCATGTGCTCTGTCCAAGCAACTTAGAGCTCCATGCTGACTGCTGTTTTCAATGTGGAAAAGGCTGCCCAAGGCTAAACCTTCCACTTTTACTCTAGAGAAGTCAGTGGTTCACTGAATTCAACTTATTCCTGTTGAACTTGGATCATACATGGAGACGGTTATTTGGAAAATGAACTCAATATTTCCCTAGCTCAATTCTCCAAGTACAGGCCACCAAGACTCCTTCAGAAGCTACATGTGCCAGCTGACTGCAATGAGGGCCAGCCTGCTCAGAGATCCATGGATACCTTCCCCTGGGAACCGTAACACAAACTCTACACCTTGAACTGCAACTTGTCCCAGCAACAGAGAAAACCGCTCAGAAAATGTACCCACAATGGTCAACCCGTACCTTCAATGTGAACTCGTGTGTTGGCCTGCCGATCCTGTCCTCGGCCTCCACGCTATACTCCCGTGCCAGGGGCACGGTGGGGTGGTAGAGGCGCCAGTGTTTCTCTCCCTCCAGCTGAAGGATGAAAACCTACAGAGAACCACAACACCTGGGAGTGTCAGAAAGCTTCCTAACAACTGATGTGGCAAAGTCCTCACATAATGCTAGCCCTCCAAGGGCTTAGATGAATTACAAGTTTTGGATAAAAAGCAAAAATGAAAGATTAGAAATGCATGTCACTCTACACTTAAATAATAAGTTTCCACTACTGATGTTCATTTTTAAAAACAGGTTATCATGAATCCTGATACTGGATAGGTATTCATTCTTTTCACTTTCTTAGAGCCTTGCTGAGTTCTTTATATCCCACCATCTCATTCCTTTAAATCTTCTATCAAACAGCTAAAAGCTCATAATCTCTGACAGAAAAGCCATGCTTCAGATATTACTGAATATCTAAAATCCTGACTATTGAAAGGGCTTTGGCAGATATGAAAACTTCAAATTTTTTATTCTTTATTCAGCCAAAGATATTTTAATGCTCTACTAAAATATTTTTTAAAACACTTCTGAAAAATGTATCAATATCAAATTGCTCTCAAAAGAGAAAAAAGGGACTTTTTCATAGTAGCTCTGTGTTCACACCTTGTATTAGCACAAAAATAAAACTATGAAATACCTAAGCCAAAGACTTAACTTTTTTTGGAAGCCACATGAGAATGAAATCAACACTTGTCAGGGTGCCAGTGCTTAAGTGAAACCATGACCTTCATTCAAGCTGCCCCAAGATTTTCACAAATGGAAAATATATATATATATCTTTGGCAGCTACTGAAAAAGAACAAAATGAAAGCAGATGTAAGAATTATTTGTGACCTCACCTTATTAAAAACCATACTTCGTAAAATTAAAGAAAAAGCCACTCATATTTTCCTGTAGATAAATTCAATAAATACCTGTTTCAAAGGAATGTGTGGCTCTTTATATTAGTGAGGTTGGAAACAACCTCTCCCTTTGAGAAGGAGCAGGAAACCAGTTTGGTGGAATTTATTTTGGCCCACATTTAGATGAGATCAAGATCTCTGGAGAATGCAAAGAAGAGAGGACATAGACCTGGCCTAAGAGCCTTAGAAAATGTAAACTAACCCTGATAACTAGCAACTCATTCTTCCCCATGCTGGGCAATTTTCTTCCTCTCTTACCTCGACATCATCGTAATGGGGCGGCAGGCCCTGAGATCCTGCTGGGGTTATGTATACATTTGAGCCAACCAAGGAGCCAAAATAACATTCCAGCTTCTCCTGGATCCTCCAAAGCTCATCCTTTAAAAAAAAGAAAGGGGTAGGAGAACAGTAAAAATATGTTAGAAATGAGAGGAAGAACATGTTGTTGTTCACTTAAGAAGTCTTTTCTGCACCACTATTATATGCCAGGTACTGGGAATTAAGCAGTGAAAGAGCTAACACTCTGCCCTCTAGAATTTTCCTTTTTAGCACAGAAACACTATAGAAAAGATATGAGCAGACACATGAGAGATTGGCAAGGCAGGCACTTGGGAATCATGAAGGATTTTATGCAGGAGAATGACATGATCCAATTTACATTTTTAAAAGTTCACTCTTGCCACTGTGTGGAGAACAGGTTGTAGAAAATCAAGAGCACAAGTAAGGGAAACTAGTCTGGAAGTTACTGAGGCAGCAGACCAGGCAAGAAATGACCAGGGTGGTGGAAGGATGGAGAAATAGAAAAGTAGAGGCGTACTTTGGAAGTAGCATTGATAGGATTCGCTGATGGACTAAATACACAGGGGTACGGAAATGAGAAGAGTAAAAAAAAAAAAAAAAAAAAAACTCATGGGTTTTTGATTTGGGCAATTAGCTTCCATTTACTGATATGAGAAAGACTTGCCAAAAAATTTTTCAAGAGGAAAAAAAAAGAGTTCTATATCAGAAATGTGAAGTTTGAGATGCTTAGACCCCCATGTGAAGAGGATTATAAGTACACTTGAAGTTCAGGGCTGAAGATTTACATTTAGAAAATGCCTTCACAAAATGGATATTAAAAGTTATATCAGAAATGTGAAGTTTGAGATGCTTAGACCCCCATGTGAAGAGGATTATAAGTACACCTGAAGTTCAGGGCTGAAGATTTACATTTAGAAAATGCCTTCACAAAATGGATATTAAAAGCAACGGGAGCAGGAAAGATAACCTAGGAAGAGGGTATAGACAGAGAAGGAAGAACAGGGCCTAGGAATTTTCCCTCTCCTCAGTCACTAATCAACTCTTCAGGGTGTAAGTCAGACTGGGGGGCCTAGAGACAAGGAGCCACATATTCCTACAAGAAAAAAAGAAATCTGATTTTCCCAAGGCAAATGAGAAAAAGGGAGGTAGTATCAGGCTATGAAGAGATTAGCACTTCCTATGTGCCAGGCACCGTTTCTAATTGCTTTATACGTATTAATCCTGTATCCCTCACAGCAACCTGGTCTCGCAAGGTGGGTACTATCCTTATCTTCAGTTTACAGATGAGGAAACTGAGGCACGAGAACACACAACCAGTAAATGATGAAGCTGGAATTCAAATCCAGGCAGTCTGGCTCCAGAGTCCATACCTTTAAGATAATTTAAGAAAAGACAAATCCCAAAGGACATTAAAGAGTCCAAAGTTTTAAGCATATGAATGAACAGTGCCTGGCATATAGAAGACATTACAACATATTAAAATATTTGCTGAGTAAACCATAACCACAGCTTGGAAGTCAATTCTACCACTGGACTGAAAAAGGATCCATAGTATTAAAAATGTCAAGTATGAAAGAAATGGGTCAGTATGAAAAAGCTTTGGGAGATATTTTTATATAAACCACTGGGCTTCTCTTTTTATAGATCTCAGAGGAAGAATAATTTAATGGCATCTGAATAGCTCCAAAGAGTCAACAGAGGTCCCAAGGAACCCAATTTATTTCACGCAGAGGACAGCAGGACCTGGCTCTGTAATTACATTTTTACGGTAACTGGAACTATTAGAAAACCAGGGCTTCTCTCTCTCTCTGATGACCTAAGAGGTCTTTCAGGACGGTATAGGTGACTTTACGGTTCCTAACTCAAGCACCAAGGTCTATAACTGATGAATATATGTCTCTTTTCCTCTCAAAGGTACCGAAATGCTATTAATTTGTATAATTTTTCCATTTCACCTAAGAGGTCTTTCAGGACGGTATAGGTGACTTTACGGTTCCTAACTCAAGCACCAAGGTCTGTAACTGATGAATATATGTCTCTTTTCCTCTCAAAGGTACCGAAATGCTATTAATTTGTACAATTTTTCCATTTCAACTGGGCCTTTAGCTTCTGAATCTGACAACTGTAGCCTACTAAAAAGAGATTTGTAGTCAAACTACCTCAGTCCAAGTTATAGCTACAAGCAAGGTGACTTTGGTTACTTTATTTGTAAGATGAAGATACTACCACTCCCACCTAAGACTGTGGGGAGCAGCATAAAACAACTTGTGTGAAATCCTATTTAAATTGCAAAGCAGTATACAAGTGTTACTGTTTCATCAACATTGACTCAAACACAAACAAGGCTCCTGAAATCTGTGTTCTCCTTTACCACATGACTCCCAACTATGTCTGGAGATGCTGAGGAGAACACAGAACAGTGAAAGAGAGAAAGGGAAGTCTCTCTCCTGGCCAGGTACAACCTCCTCTCTCCACTGACCTACCCCACAGAATCAAAACTGAATAGCATGGCTGTGACCAGAAACCCATACGTATGCCTAAAGACAGGCAAACATAAACTCACAAAAGCCCTACTACATTTCAATTTAAATCTTTCAAAGTATGGAAGGAAAATACCTTAAATTTGTAGTTAGAATGCTTACCAACTCAAAATAACTATAAAAAAGTCACATCTGTGAACTGCAGTTTTTTCACATATAAAATGTAGACCACAGTGGCTGCCCTACCTATTTCACATGTCTGTTGGAAGGTTCAAAAGTTAATATCATGTGAAAGTATTTGGTGAACTCTAACGTGCTATGTAAAATGCGAATAATTGTGATAACTCCCCTCCCCCAGACTTTTCATATATGGATTGCCCAAAGCAGGTGGGGAGCACCTTCTTATGACTCTGGTTATTTCCTTACTCATTTCTAGACTAACAAGCCAAATAAGCTGTGCATAGTCTGAGACCCGATAAACAAAGTGCTAACTGTCCATTCTAACAGTCTCTCAACCTGGCCAATGATGAACTATCTCCAGACTTTTCCTATTCTGATGTTAACATGCGCATTCCTAAAAAATACACAACACTGACTCTCCTTGTACATAGTTCTTTGAACCCAGCTTCCAGTATAAGAGTGTGAGCTCCTACAGCTTATAGGTCTCTTGAGTACTGGTGGTGGAAAGAAAAAGAAAAAAAGTGTGCATCCTAGTCCAGCCTGGGCACTGCATTTGCGCTGAGAAGGCTCACCCTGCCTGCTTTAATAAACCCAGCCAAAGCAAAGAGTAGAGTCAACAGGGCAAAGGAAATAGGTTCTTGGCCAGTGGGAATCCCAGAGGAATGTGCCTGGCTTAAGAAGACAAACAGAAAAGAACCCTGGGGAGATGATTCTAAAGTACAGAAATGACAGCCACAGAGGACATCACACATATGCCAAATAATAACTTCCTAATGGTCTGTGACCAAATTACATGTGATCAACCTCACTGAATTCATTTACATTCATAGTTCTTAGGCTTCTAAAAACCACTCTTCAAAGTGCTACTTCTAGCCAGGTAGAGTCAAGGACTAACTCAGAGAGAAGCACTTTATCCACTGTGTCCATATTTTCTGAATTCAAATCATGACTTGATCTGGCAAGTTTATAAATTCTTTTTGGTGCTGGGGCCAAAAAGATGGCATTTCAGGTACATTTCAACTTCTTATGGTTGCTGACATGGAATAACTTGGGATCAAGACTTGTCCTGAAAAATCTAAAAGTGCTTATACGTCATCCAGAGTATGAACAGGAAAGGGAAGGGCACTCACCACATGAGGCCTATGGGATCTAACAAGCCAACTCGAGTTACATCATGGGAAACATTATTGGTAACTGATGACAGAGCCCCAGAAGCCACTGATACAGCCAGAATCCACTCCCCTCAGGAGCCTCACGAACACCTCATTTTCTTCTCCCATGCTGCCCTTTTCATTCAGCCATGGGTCACAGAAGGCAGTTTCTGTATAGAGATAAAACTTTACCTAAAACTCAGAACAGGCCCTCAGCTGATCTGGGCCATCTGTCACGTAAAGATCTCAAACCTCTAGGAAAGCAGATTAGCTCATCCTAAGTCTGCATTTTATAAATGCGGAAATTGAGAACAGAGGAGGCAAACTATTTTTCACATGTCAGTCACTGATGCAGAATAAATTTTAAAAATCAACCTCTAGGAAAGCAGATTAGCTCATCCTAAGTCTGCATTTTATAAATGCGGAAATTGAGAGGAGGCAAACTATTTTTCACATGTCAGTCACTGATGCAGAATAAATTTTAAAAATTGGGCAGTCCCCTGGACTCACAAATCAAAGCTATCCACTACCTACGACTGCCTCCCCAGGAGCAGTACCAGGATCCCATCCCTCAATGTCATCGTTTGGCTGTTAATAAGTATGAAGCTTCTTTCTTAAACACGCATCTGGTATGTGATCTTGTCACGGCTCTGAAGCCTCTACTTAAGTAGACATAGGCAGTAAAGGGAAGCAACTTCAAGAAAAATTACTACCTTGATGCTATCATGCCTTAAATTATAGTGAAGGGACAAACCAAATAGAAAAGTCTACCAATAACAAAAACATAAACCAGCCCACAGAACTAGTTCTTGGAAGTGTAGTGCTACTTTAAAACCTTTATAAACTTGAAACATAATTTAGTTTTTGTAGCTCAGCGATACCCAACAATATCCACCCTGAGTTGTTGCAGATTCTAATAGTTTACCCAAAAGATAACATAGAATTTCCTAAGTTAGAATGCATTTAAAGACCAAATAGGTGCTACGCCTTCTCAAACGGGCAAGAGGCTGATCATCATCATACCACATTTTCACCTTTGAGCTGATCTGGCCAAATGTCAGCACCTTAGTATGTATGAGGATTCTGCAACGGGAAAACCTGTTACCTTAAATCTCTGAGGTTGGTGAAATTGAATTGTTGCCCTTTTCTGATCAAAATCTTTTCTCAGCTGAAGAAAGTGTGCTTTGCCATCTTTATTTAAAACCTTCTTCTTCCCATTGACACACCGGCAGACATTCACATCTCTTCCGTAGTACATACCCTGGCTGCACAGACTCTTCAGATCTGTTAGCCTGAACAGGGACTGGTAATATGTGGCCAGTGAAGGATCATCTCTCTGAATGAGAAGGGGCTTCTGCTCCCAGAATTCCTTGAAAAAAGTCTCTATCTTGATGGGTGAGATTAAGCTTTCAAAGAGATCACTGGGGCTGTCAAAGTTTAAAGTGGAAGGCCCACCAACTGCTTCCACCTTTGCCTGCTTATAGGGAAGAGGCCCCTCTTTCTTCTCGTTCCCTGCAGGCTTTGCTTTCTTTGGCATCGTTCTGTCTTCAAGACAAAGCTGTGAGGAAACGCAAGCCTGCCAAAAGAACAAAACACACGTGATTAGGTTTGCAGGAGTGCCAGTGTTGATGTTAGTGGATCATACACACACAGCTTGCATGACCATTACGCCTTCATGAGAGTTCTTCATAAGGCAATGCTACTTCCTCCAGGGTATGAGACAGCCTTAAGCCAATGCCATTTCTTCCAAGATATGAGTCGGCCTCAACGACCACTCAGATTACATATTCATCTAAAGGAAAACATAATTTTCTTGGACATAAGCACTAAGTCATGGAATTTTCCAGGGTATGAGACAGCCTTAAGCCAATGCCATTTCTTCCAAGATATGAGTCGGCCTCAACCACCACTCAGATTACATATTCATCTAAAGGAAAACATAATTTTCTTGGACATAAGCACTAAGTCATGGAATTCACTGTTTATTAGGAGAGATAATTATTCCAAACTAAACCATTCAACTGTCTCAGCAGTTCCTAGTCATAGGTTTTGTCTGTGGCCATTGACAAAGCAAAGTCAAAAATCTTGAATGTGGCTGCAATCAGACCAGGTCCCAACTCTAATTAGATGTTTTCTGAGTAACAAACACTTGACCGAAGAACAACCCACAGTTGCCCACTCCCAGGTGCTCCTCACCAAGGCACCACCCTCAACTGCTGTTCAGGAGGAAACCACAGTGCCCTGGACCAGTGGTGTCACCTGGTGGCTGGAGCAAGAAGCTGCCTGATCCTGTCTCCTCACCAACACCTGAACCTCCTCGCTTCCCAATCTGAGCTTATTCCTGAAAACTGCCACTTTATCAGAACCCCTCCCTCATTAAAAAAGCTACTTAGGGGCCAAAAAGTGAAGGCTAGAAATATCTATAGACCAAATCTTCAAAAAGCTGTAAATCTTTTAACTGAAATGAGATATAATAAAATAACATCATTAACCTAACATCCCTCTTCTCCAAATTTAAACACCATAATCACAGATCACCTGGGCATCATGCCAAAATACAGATTTTGACTCACTAGACCAGAGAGGTTCTGTATTTCTACCAAGCTCCCAGGGGACACGGATGCTGATGGAACATGATACGCTTCTGAGGACCAAGAGGAGCAACACTCCCAGTGTTTCCAAGCTTCTCTCAGAACCACCCCAAACCATAACTACTGTCACACAATGTAAAGTCTCCCCAGCCTGGGTTCAAGAACGATAATTCAGATTCCATAGATTTCCTGAGAAGCAAAAATCTATTTTGACGTACTTATTTTTTTTTGTTTTGTTTTTTTCTGAGAAGGGAATCTATCCCTGTCTCCCCCCCAGAAGGTTAAGAAACCACTGCTTATAAAAAACCTAATTTTCCCAAAGACCAGTGACTTATCTATTACAAATGTTATGGTTTCCTATTTTATTTCTGAATTGCAAGAATACCGTTTTCTGCTCTTTTGTCATTATAACTAAGCGGTATTTCAGCTACACTGTAGACTAAGCAGAATTAGTGGTCTGGCCTGGGAAGTAAGCATCCTAGAATAACGTGTGACACATTACAACAACCAATTTATTTAAGAACCTTTAGAATGCAATCCAGTTGTAAACTGAACAAATTAGGAAGTAGAAAAGTCTAAATATAAAACTCTCTAATGATCTCAGTTAAGCTTCTAAATTTCATACCCAGAAACAGCTCAGTTCTTTCAAAAGATCAAGTGCTTTTGGTAAGGAAACACAGGACCATGGTGGAAAACTAATACAATTTGATAAACTTTAGTGTTTTAAGATATGAGACATATTTTCTGAAAATATTTCCTCTTCCTTTTAAGTCAAAAAGACCAACTTAAAGATCAATGAAAAAAAGCTTCAGTGAGACAAAGCACTGCCAGTACTTGGAACTCTGAAGTAATACAGAAATACTAGGAGATATGAAAACAGATTCATAAGGAGCACTGCTTGTGCAAAAGAGTTACGACAGCAGGCTTGACAGCTATAATTTGAAAGGCCAGCCTGTGGCTGACATCTGGGAACTTAGATTTTGCGGGGGTGCCCACCACCATTAACTGATAGGAGTGGCTCACTACCTTAAAATGTACAAACAATACAGTTTATACCGAGAAGTAGAAGCAGCCCGAGGTCCATTAACTGATAGGAGTGGCTCACTACCTTAAAATGTACAAACAATACAGTTTATACCGAGCATCTGCTTTCCTTCTGGGATATGGAATTCTGGTACGTGGCAGGCAGAAGCTGCCTATGTGACCAGCCCCCCAAAAAACCCTGGGCCTCTAATGAACTTCCCGGGTTGGCAACATTTCACACAGTTGACACAACTAGCTGCTGCAGCAATTAAACATCTCTAGTGCCACTTCACTGGGAGAAAACCCTTGGAACCTTGTGTCTGGTCTCCCCAGCATGATCAGCTCAGAGTCCTCCAAGCAAATTACTGAACCTAGATGGTGCTGTGGACTGGATGTCCCTCCAAACTCACTGAGGCTTGGTCCCCACTGTAACAGTGTTAAGAAGGTGGGAAATGTTATTATTGTAGTTGAAAGGTGGGACCTTGAAGAGGTGATTAGATTGTATGGTTTAATGGTGGTCACAGGTGTAGTTGTGAGGGCTTTAAAAGGAGCAAGGAGTTAGCTCTCTCTGCTTCCACCATTTGCCAACGTGGCATCCTGCTTTGCTGTGAAGAGTCACTACCCACCAATAAAGCTCTCTTCTGATATGTTCCCTGGACTTTGGACTTCCCAGCCTCCAAAACTATAAGCAATAAATACTGTTTCTTATAAATAACCCAGTTTCAGGTATTTTATAAGCAACAGAAATGGACTAATACAGATGGTCTTGGGGACCCCAATACACTGCTCACATTGAATTTTTAGAAACTAAATGTTAGATTAGCTTATTAGGTTTGTATCACTAAAGGTACCTGATGGAGTCTGGATGTGCTGTCCCCTCCAAAACTCATGTGGAAATTTGATCTCCAATGTGGCAGTGTTGGAAACTGATTGAGTCATGGGGGTGGATACCTCATGAATGGATTAATGCTCTCCCTGGGGGATGGGGGATTAATGAGTGACTTCTAGCTCAATTAGTTCCCGTGAGAGCTCGTTGCTTACAAAGACCCTGGCACCTTCTCTCTCCCTCTTGCTTCCTCTTACCATGTGATCTGCTTGTACCTGCCAGCTGCCTGCCACTTTCCGCCATGAGTAGAAGCAGCCTGAGTCCCACGCCAGATGCAGCTGTCCCAGAATCGTAAGGCAAATAAACCTCTTTCCTTTATAAATTACCCAGTCTCAGGTGTTCTGTTATAGCAACACAAAACGGACTATAAAGTAATTTTATATTCAGCCCCACATCTTCTCTTATCCCTCACAAGTGGACAGTTTAAAATTTATGTAAGGGGTGTGAGCAGCAGGAAGATGCAAATGAAAAGGCTTTTCTTTAAGCATAATGTACGAATGCAGCGTAAGCACATTCACCAGGAAGTGTGGCTAAACAAAGTGCACAAAATACTTAAGCCAAAATAAAATCACTTAAAGAATGTTTCCCATCTACAATCACTAACAAAATAAATCCCAATACTGCATAGCAAATGCTTTTGTTAGAATATAAACTTCACTACTTACACTGCCAAAAGTTACATCATTTAATGTTTCTCTAATGTTCATGTTGAAATGATTTGAGGCTGAGTTAACTGAAATCTAGTTTAGAGGTTACTGGGCAAATACACTATTTCTCTCATTCTCACACTACTCTTATTGTAACGTAAGACAATCATTCCTTTTAATGGCTTCTCGAGGAGGGAGGGGAGAAGAGATGACATACCCTACCACATTAAACAAACAAAAATCCTAAGCTGCATCACAATTTCCGAAGACAGTTAAAAGTAAAAAAGCACGTTTTAGAATCCAAGAAACAGAATAGCACAGCCAACATAAGCCTGCTTATAAACCTCACAGACCACCCAAACAGAAGTTAACGTTTCTACAAAGCTACTAGAGAAAAAAAAGCAAGCTTTTGAAAAGCAATCATTTTCAATTGGAGTTGACTATGTGCAATAAAATGGAAAAAGCTTAAGTCAAAAGAAAAGATATATGGTTCATACTTTGGTAACTGCCCCACAGATAAGCTCTACAGCCAACAAATATATAGTGTATTTTTAAGGTGTCCTAACCACTTTTTCTATAGTAATATTTAATGACAAGAAGCCATAACACAGCTTCTTGAAGGAATTTATATATTGCCAGAGCATAGCAGAGTCTGGCACACAGGAGGTCTTCAAGACATGTTTACTAAATCTACTGTTTTTCACTTTTGCATCTTTTGTCTGTATACAATTTAAGATAAAACAAACAAACAAAAAATCAACGGCCTTAAGAACAAGTTAGGGGGGAAACAGGTGGTTAGTGCAGTGTGGCTTATTCTTTGGATGGCAGCTGTTACTTAGGTATTCAACAGGTATTCTAAGAGCCGAAAGACATCGTAGACATCAGTAGTTATTATCAACCAAGGGAGGGAGGTGTGAGTGTCTTTACTTCTCCTGAGCAGTGTTTTACAGAAAGTCCACAATCACCAGCAAGCTTAACATGAAAATTCCTGGGCCCCATATCAGTCTCACCAGAGTGCCACTTCTGGTGGCTGGAGCCCAGAAATCTGCATTAATATAGTTAAGTTCTCAAGGTGAATTTTAGATCCACTAACACAGAGGACCGTAGTCGAGCTCAGCACAATTAAACATGCACATCTGTCAGAAATTATATATACAGTTGGCCCTCCGTATCCATGGGTTCTACATCTCTGGATTCAATCAACTGTGGATCGAAAATATTCAGGGAAAAAAAGTAATAAAAATAATACAAATAAAAAACAATACAGAACAACTATTTACATAGCATATGCACTGTACTATTATAACTAACCCAGAGATGATTTAAAGTATACAGAAGTATGTGCATAGGTTACATGCAAACGCTATGCCATTTCATGTCAACGATTTGAGCACCTGTGGAGTTTGGTATCCACAAGGGGGGTCCTGCA